TTTTTTTTTTTGTATCTATCTATTTAGTTGATATGTAAATAGCTATTTGGTTGATATATGAATGCGTTTTAGGTGGTATGAGAGACAATAAACAAGTAACTAACTGTTGCTTCGCTTCGGTTAATGCGTAACTGTTAGCTTTATTTAATACGATTCTCTAACAATTTTTCCGGTCATTTTTTTCTTATTCTTTTTCTCTTTTGTTTTGGTCGGGACTGCTTGTACCATTTTAGTATTTTTTTTTTCATTGTTTTATTATTTTGATTTAACGCCTTCCGTTTTTTAAACCAAACCTCTTAATTTTGTGATTAGGATTTCATTTAAGTATGTTGGTATCAGTCATTGTTGCTTTTGAAAGGTTTTTTGTTGCTATCTTTCCACTCTTTATAGTGTTGGTAGCCGCGGAACAGAAAAAAATTGCTCTTACGTTGTTCACCATTAATTCATCTTATGGTACTTTTTTCTTTGCTTTTTACACTTCGCACAACTTTGAAAGAGCTAACACAAGCAAGCTGTACGACTTTATCGTTTCTGTAAACTCATCTTTAGTTTATGATCTTCGATTCAGTGCGCTGCAGATTGATGGTTGATATAAATGTTCTTGTTTTTATGGCTTTTTTTTTTTCATTTTTCCAGAAATGAATGAAATGTCACAGCAAATGGCCTGCAAAGTGTAACTTGTCAAGCTGTGGGCCTAAAAAAAATTTTTGCTTATGTCACCAGCGGGAGTCAAATCGAGGGATATCGTTGTTAATAGCTTTTTGTAGAGATGGATGACCGTCGACTGCAGTATACTGAGGTGAGGCATGACTTTTGGTCGATTTGGTCTGAAGAATAACTAAGAAGCATAAGCTCTAATTTGCAATACGTTGTATTTCTCTCCTGATCTTTTTTTTTTTCAAAAATCTACTTATTTTAATTCTTTTTTTGAAGTGTCTGGTAATGTCAGATTACTTCCTTTTCTATATTACGTAGTTCCTTCACATGTTATCAGTTAGAACTTCATGTAACTGTTGGTTTTGATCTAAGTTCAGTTGGACGCTTCAGTTAAGAAATGGAAACAAATCCTTCTCAGCTAAAAATTGGTTCGATGATTTGTAGTCCTTAAAGTGAATTGAAGTAGTTTTTTTGTACTCTTTATGTTATCGCGTTTGTCAGAACACTTTTTTTCAAGCTACTGACAAACTTAGAAAAGTCAATTACCTCGTCGGCTGCTGCAGCTCAGAGGCTATCAGTCAGCACATCGGAAGAAAGTGTTGCCGCTCTGGACCAAGAACTTCAGGTACTGTTGACGTACTTTTTCAATTCGATTTTCTCTTTTTATGTCTATTAATGGCAGTTTTTGAATATACCATTACAGTTGCGGTATACTGTGCTCCCTAGTTCGTAATTCTGCTTTCTTCTTTTACTTTAGAATTTAGTCCGACAAACTGGTTCAATCGACCCTACGGCTAGACTAAGTTTGAAGAATATAAGTTTATGTGAATTACTCACTCACTGTCCAGTTCTTTTAAGTGCTTCTACTACCTCTGCTGTAACTCGATCAAGGCTCCACCTTTTTTTGTTTAACCTTGGTATGTTTGAAAGATTGGAGATCTGTCGCTTCGATAAAACTTGTTAAATTTATTTTAGCTTTTTACAATATACCTATTC